TATTTTCCTTTCTAAATAATTCCTTTCAGCCAATTTTCACTGTTCAAGGTTGGAGGTCTCTTTTTGATTGCCTCATGAATCTAAAAGCTGGAGAAGAGAGGATAGGAGAGGACCTATGATCTGGTCTGAGAGATTCATATATATTAGGCCTGGTACTAGTTAGGAGACCAAAAGTATAGAGCCAAAGAAATGGACAAGACCCAGTTATGGTAATTTGATTTTAAAAAGAAAACATTTTGCATTTGTCAGTCTCAGGCAACTGCAAGACCCCTTTCTTTCATTCAAATTCACCAGAGTGTTATATCAAACTAAGAAACACAGTTAAAAATCACCTCAATCATTGCTTACTTATAGACCAGGTAAACATTTAGCTCTTTTAAAGGCTATTTATTTACTTTAGTGTAGAAGTAGTGTTAAATATAAATATAAAGCAAGAGCTTCTATTTGTGTTACTGAGCTGCAGCGGCCTTCCTTCCAATTTCACTCCAAAGAACAATTTCAGCTTGCTTCCCCCTCTAGGAGCTCTGACCTGATTAAGGGAGTTGGAATCTTGGAAGCCCCCATTCACATATAGAACACTTTAGCATATACAGCCTTTTTTAAAAAAAAAATTGCACAGCTGTAAAGGCACAGACACAATGAACCATGTGATACAAAGAAAATACTCCATAAGATGGGGCCAAGCAAAACTGAAATCCTTCCCAAATGCAAAAGTAGCCAGCTATATTTTTAAAAAATTTAACACAGGTACTACATGTTCACTTTGAAAGAAAAACCCTCAAGAGTAGTGTATAGCGTAAAATAATCACAGGTGAGAACCTCTCTTCTATAGGGAATGTACTCTTCCCTTCTTGAAGCAATAAAGGCAGTACTAAAATGTTGTAACTGAACAACTTGAGGAAGGAAAAGAAACTGGAAAGCCAGGACATGCACAATACACTTCTGTGCATTTCTCTGGCTCCTTCTTCCCACCTCTGAAAAGAGGTATTCTACTTCAGTGGCTGTTCACAAGTTGTTATTCCAGATACTTTTTCCTTAATTAACCAAGCATGAGTGTCTCAAGAAAGTGGTTTGACCTAACACTGCTTTCAGGAATATGTAATTCTGACACAAGCCAAAATATCTAACATCCTGGATGAAAACATTTAGTACTGAGCGCCAAGTGGGAGATCCTTGAGGATAACGAATGAGCTGGGATATAAGAAAATGCCCAGATTTTTCACATCTATTCCTTTCTCTTCACTTGCTCTCTTATTTCACTGGATGGAAATCACATGGACATGTCTTCCTGAGGGGCAGCCCATTTTTTTAAAAAAAACTCCTTCCAAATAAACACATTCAAACCAGGTTGCAAGCCTTGCATCCCCAATTTTAATTTCCTGATTAGCAAAATCTTTGTGAGCTGTTCTGAAAAAAATGTTTGAAAGAGAAGCGTATAAAATGTGGGTGTTTGGGGGCAAAAGGAATGTTGAAAAAAGTCACATAGCTGGGTGGGGGACACACACAACAGATCCTCACAGAAACATTTACTTCAATAAACTCGCTCTTTCTCAACAACGCCGCCCAAGCAGAGTGGGCTCATTCTCTCTTAACAGCTGAAGGTTCAGCACAACTGATAGGGGCAAAAGGTAAAGCAGGAACTAATACATGTGGGCTACTTCTTTAGGAAAAAACAAAACAAAACCGACTGCTTAGTTCTGCACATCCCCTAGGATGCCCCCAAGGTGCCTAAGCTGCAGAGATCAGCTGCTCCACAGCAACCATGCAATCTGAAAGGAAGTCTGAGAATAGCCTTTGGCAGCCCCCAGGGAACCATAGGTCAGCTGCAGGACAGGAGACTGTCGCATAATGGCTGCCTGTTATTTGAGTCTTTGAAGAGGAACATGAGAAAAGGTTGGGTTTTGCAGAGAAGGCCGGTAACCATTAATGTCACGTAGGTGGAAGAAGCAGCTTCCAGTGAAAATGTCAATAATAGCTCCATGGATCATTTCGGTGAGGATCGCTCCCTTTCCTCTCCCCCATGAAAGCACATTAATTGTGTGCATGGAAATAATTCTCCCTATCACTATGAGCAGCAGGAGCTTCTTAGCTTCCACTGAAAGAGGAGATGCTATTCTGGAAAGTCCTGCTGCTTCAATCTCTTCTTAATCCCCTGCATTAGTTTCAGTTTCCTTTCCCGTCCCCCAAAAAACTTAAGTCTAGAATCTCTGGGACCAGTCGCAAAGGGCATAAGTAGGAAAGCGGTAAAAACAGTCCAGGTGATTCAAAAAATAACCAATGGTAGGCAGACGTCCGAGCTTTTTAAGTAAAATGCAAATTGGGGGCAAAAGAAAAACATTCAACCTTCTCATTTGAAATAGGAACTTACATGTAGTTCTTGTTGAAAGACTACTTGTCCAGCAACTGTTCAAAGTTATGATGCTAAACAATGGGGATCTACGATGGGTCCTCATAGCTGTGGCCATTCTCATGGTCACATCAATGCAGTTTACACATCTGGCAACTGGCTTACGATTATGATGTCAGAGTGCTCTGCAGTCATGCGATTATTTGCGACCTTCACTTCCAACAAGTAAAGTCAATGGGGAAGCAGGCAGGAAGTTGCAAGTGGTGATCATGTGACTGCAGGATGCTGTGACCGCACCGAATTCACCCATTAACAGCAACTGGGACTGCTACCACTGCTAGCTTAAGTTGGCACAGTCATGTGACATTGTGCTTTACAATCGCATTGCTTAATGACAGAGTTGCTATTCCCAATTACCTTTGTTAAGCAAGGACTACTTATATTTGAGTTCAAACAAGAAAAAACGATGGCACAAAAAGCAGTTGTGCAGCTTCTTAATTTATCCTGTTCTATTGGAAGCAGCACACTGTGTATTTATAAGCTCCAGGCTGAAGAGCACACAAGGGCCATTGTGCCACTCATACATCATCTGCCAGGAAATAGGCACACCTGCCCTGTTGGATGCCTAGCTATTATTATGGGAGGTTGAAGAGAGGGTGAAGGAAAGGTAAACATATGTGCTGGTGTCTTCAGGCAGACTATACAGTGTGTGAATAATGTATGATTTCTAAGGGAAGGCTCCATCACAGAAAAATTGTTATATAGAAAGAATAATGGTGGTGGCTTGCCATGAATCTTGTGTGAATGGCAAGATGCACCTTGGTCCCTTCACTAGGACAAAGGAACTAAGAACATTGTTTATGTGCTATCAAGGTGGTGTTGACTCTTAGCAATCATCTAGATAAGGTTTTCTCCATGACAATCTCTTCTAACGTGGTTCTTCAGGTTTTCCAATTCTTCTCCAAGTCCATCCGACCTGCTGCTGGTCATCCTCTTCTTCTCTTTCTTCCCACTTTCCCCAACATTAGAGCCTTCTCCAAAGGTTGATATTCAAGATAACAGCATAGCTAAATTTAAGTAGAAGCCCATTCTTCCCGGAAGATTTTGATGACATTTTGAAGTATACGTGTGGGTGTTTTGTATATGACTATGTGAATGTTATAAACCAACACATCCGAACCATGCAAATGGTTTTGATCTGGAATGCAACAGTGTGTAATATTTCTTGAACAAGTTATAAAACAAGCCACATATGCTTTAGCACAACTCCCAATGATCTCAGTTAAATTACCACCAAGGTAATTTACTTAATAAAAATGTAAATAAAAAATAAATAAAAAACTGAAAGTTTATCTTCATTGGAGTATTGTTACAAAATAACAGCAAGAAAATAATAATAATCCACCAGATGAAAGAAAAGAGTATTGTTCTTTTATTTCTCCACATATATTAGTGAACAGCCTAACATACAATTCTACTTGAACAGTGTTTGTGACTCACTGAGATTTTGCAGTCCATTTTTTTATTACCTGACTAACTTCAATCTACCCAGATGGATACCATAAATGAGTTGAGTGGAGGAAATGCAGAGACAATAAACACACACACACAGCAATAAACCATAAATGTTTTTTTCCCTTCAAACCAATGCCAATAGGAGCCTAATGATACTAACAGAACAAATTATTTCACCATTAAAAATAACAGAATAACATATATACTTCCATGTCGTACTCTCCCTATTTTTCCAACTTGTCTTTTCAGCCATGAAAATAAAACACATGTTTTATTTAGACTGAATTTGCATTGGTTGGCATGCAGTTAAGATATTCTTCCCCAAGGATTTTGCCAGTAGGCAACAACAGTTGCATTTGAGCTGAATATCTATTACAAATTATGCAGGGCCACCTCCCAACCTTTTGATCTTAATGGACTAGTTTCCATTTTTTACCCACATGGGAAGCACTATAGAAAGTACTACTGGTAAGCACTTTTCCTTCACTAATGGCAGTCTACTATAGTAACTATGAGCTCAAAATAACATAGCCACGGACAATTTGAAATAAGATTTCATAATTAATTATAAAGAATCCTTCCCATAGGAAAATGCTTTTATTTTGAATTCTTAAAAAAAAACATACTATATGACTTTAAAAACTGGACATTATAGGGAATTAGAAGGAACTAAANCCCACTGTGAAACCATTCACTAAGGCTGCATTACTATTACTATGAGTCTTCTCATTGTTCCTATTATCCATCTCCTCCCACTTATGACTGCAGGACTGTAATTTTGTTGCTTGTATCCTTATTATTTATATTGATATTGATTGTTTCCTGATTGCTTATTTGTACCCTATGACTATCATTATGTGCTGTACCTTATGATACTTGATGAATGTATCTTGTCTTTTTATGTACCCTGAGAGCATATGCACCAAAGACAAATTCCTTGTGTGTCCAATCACACTTGGCCAATAAAGTATTGTGTGTGTGTGTGTGTTAACTTAACAATATTAAGTTACAATCTATAACATCGATTTTGCCCACCGCTGTGGTAAGAAAGCAATTGAATCCCGAAGAAGACACTTTAATATAACCAGAAGGAAAGAAAACCCAATTCTGAGGCCCACACACTGACAAGCATACTCACAATTTGGTCTTTTCACTCTCTCCATAATGCCAGCCATCTCGGGCCTCAGGCACTAGCAACGTAATAAGGTCCCCCTCCTTGAAGCTCAGAAGGGTGCTGTTGTCACCAGCAGCATGAGAGAAAATGGCTCTCACTCTTGTTCGGCCATTTTTTTCTAATCCTGCTGCCATGGAACTGGAACGGGGAAGTGTCTTGTTTTCAGCTGGAAGACAAGACGGAGATTGAGTCCACTCTTTTTGATAAATAAACCTTTTTCTTTCTGTTACTTTACTATTGTGCTAATACTTCAGTTACCAGAGAAAGTTTGTCAAATGGAGTTTTGTTAAAAAAAAAAAAGACTGCGGATTGCTCATTTACAGGTAGTCCTCAACTTACAACGGTTCATTTAGTCATGTTTGAAATCGCAACAGCACTGTGACTTACAACTGGTCCTCACAGTTGTGACTCTCACATTTGCATGTTTAAAACTCAGGTGCCGGCAACCAGCATATGTTTAGGACACTTGCACTGTCTCAGAGTCATGTGATTGCCATTTCCCAGACAACTTCCGAAAAGCAAAATCCGTGGAGGAAGCCGGATTCATTTAATGACCACATGATTCACCAAATAACTGTGGTGATTCACTCCACAACTGTGGCTGAAAGGTAGTTAAAAATCATCATGTAAAACATTTATCTCTAGATCATAAATGTCAATGACTTTGTAAAGCAAAAGAAAATACTGAATTTCGTAATAAAACACCCACACAGATACGATGTACTGAGCAACCCGTTCTTAAAAACAAACATTACCTAGTGCTAGGTACCTGTGCATTATGTAGTATTATTAATAATCATAATTATGGCATAAAAGGAAGCAATGAAAATTGTCTTTTTGCTATTATGCTTCTTTTAATGGTTATGTTTGAATTATACTGATTGTTTAGCTGTGTTTTAATTGTGTGTGCCAACCAGAGTCAGAGATGGGTGGCTATATAAATTCAACAAATAAAAAATAACACAATACAGTAACCTCATCCTGTTCCATGCAATGAGGACTTCATTTCATGCTGGAATCAAGCAATACAGCAGTAGTATAGGGGTCCCATATAATCAGGAATGGGATCCTACCGGCTTAACAACCATTTCATTCGCACATGTGCCTGACGTGCACTGCACACGTGTGCACAATTTGCCAAAAATTCACCTTCAGCGTTACTGCTGGCGAGGAAAACAGTTGAGGCCAATCAGCTGGGCTTCGAAAAAGGAAATATAGATGAGTATAGTGCAGGGGCGGGCAGGCAGGCCCATTTCAAAGTCGGAGTGAACCAGTTCACTCCCAGCTGATAGTCTACCGGTTGGCCTGAACCGGTCTGAACCAGTAGAATCTCAATAGGTGGTAACATTTGGTTAACCTTCTCTGAGCTCCAAGCTAAACAGGGAAGGCCAGGGAAGGCCTCGGATGAGGAAACTTTCATGGAATGCTTGTGCTACTGACGAGCCTGGAAGCTGAAACACATCTCAGCAGGTAGCAGTGGAAAACTACTTCTCTGGTGTTGTCAGGATTGCTGCAAATTGTGTCCATGAAACTGAGCCTGACTCAAAGGTACCTTTTACCTTAGTCAGAAGATAATGAACATTGCAGAGTGATGTCAGTCTAAAGGAGACATTGTTCACCACTCTTCCTAGTATGATGCAAAAGGACCAAGCCTGCTGTACCACTTTGGAGAAACACATTTGTTGTTCATAGCTTTTGTAGGAAAAAAGCTTCTTCAGGTATGTGAAAACATCTGACTCATCCATTCTATTGTGTAAGGGCTTGCAAATAAAAAGCAAGCACTTCTAATTAATTTCTGATAAAGCAAACTGACAAAAATTTCTGTCAGCAAACCTGATGCATTTTTTTAGCTTTCTTGGCTCCCCAAATTTTCAGTGCTTTCTCAATACCTGTTCTTGTTTCTACCAGCAGAAAGATAGGAGATCTAGTGGACCCTTTAAAAGACTCAACCTGAGAAACACTTTAGAAGTTGGTGCCGTTTTTGTGCTTCTATGCCAGCTTTCTCCAAATCACTTGGGACTGTTGCAATGGCTGGGGATTTAGGGACCTGTAGTCTTTGCATAGGTAGAAAGCCTGAAGATAGTTGTTTTTGGCCTTTTTTTCCTACTGTGGGGGTGGGTGGGTGGGTCAAACTGGCAGCACGTAGGCTGGAGGCATCATACGCAGGCCACGCATTTCCCCTGTGAAGGGGAAAAGGTCACATGATAGCAACATGAGGCTGCGAGTTTGACACCTGTGTCCTCCTGTGTTACTCTATGGGAGTTAACCCACAATCTGACATATGCAGTCCTCCAAAATGGAGGGAAGGGGAGAGAGGAATAATCTCTTACAAGAATGACTTACTGGCTGCATAGCTGTTTTTCGGCATTACGCTTTTACGCACAGGGAGAGTATTGGAGTAAGAATCACTCAATTGCTTCTGAGTTTGTGGTGGGGATAAGGACTTCGGCTGAGGCGGCTTTCGGTCAGACCAATGACTGTAATCTTCACCTTCTGAGCCTGAGACACCGTTCATTACTGGAATGGTCTCTTGTGCAGACATTCGCTGGAGAAAGAGTGGGGAGAGGGAGAGAAAAACACAGATATGATGCTCTTGATACAAGTGCTTGTTTCGAACAACCATTCTGCCTTGTTCAGAAAATATTACTGGTAGTCTGCATCATGCTGCCTTCTCATTTTCCCCACCACTTCCTCCTTAATTCTTTATTTTTCCTGGCAGAGAGCTGGAAAGAGCAATTACTGATTAAGGAGGAAAAGATGGAGCACAGTGTCTTTTGACTGGCAGACTGGGGAAATAAGTGGCCCCATCCAATGGCTTAAACCTGTACAGGTAGTCCTTGAATCTCAACCATTCATTTAGTGACCATTTGAAGTTACACTGAATGACACTGAAAAAAAGTGAGTGGTTTTCACACTTATGACTGTTGCAATATCCCAGTGGTCAGGTGATCACTATTCAGATGCTTGGTGGCTGGCATGTATTTATAATGCTTTGCAGTGTACTATCCCAGGATCTTGTGATCACCTTTTGTGACCATCTGACAAGTAAAGTCAGTGGGGAAGCTGGATTCACTTAACAACAGTGCTACTAACTTAAACAACTACAGTGATTCGCTTAACAACTGTGCCAAGTTGTAAAATGGGGCAAAGTTCACTTATCAACTGCCTTGCTTAGCCACAGAAATTTTGGGCTCAACTGTGATCGTACGTCGAGGGCTACCTATAATATGACCTCAAACCATGGCTCTTCTTGAGCTAGCTTGAAGATGCTCAACTTTGCCCAGAAGGACATGCCAAAATAAAGCCAGTCTTATATAATTATATCTTGCATAATGGCTGTCAGAGTACTGGGAGTTCAGCTTCTTTGTGCTCAAGTTTGCAAATCTGTTTAACTTAGAATTTCTCCACACAGTTCATGGCCAGCCTATCCCAGATGTAATCATATTACAGCTGTAGAACTGGACTAAATACATAGGTTTTGGACAGCAACTGGGAAAATCGTTAATGCAAGGTAATGAAAAGAAAAACCAAAGGTCCCTGAATTGTTTCAGTGGAAACCCAAATACTTCAGCAGGAGGAAGCATACAATCCCCTAATCCCTCAATTTTCCTATCACCACTGAATTTAGCTTTTGAAGACAGATGTAAATTTGGAACCCAGTCAGTTACTGACTTCTGCAAGTTTATCAGCAACGTATCGACATATTTCAGCTCCTGTGCCTTGTTTTTCCAAGAATGAACAAAAAAGGCCACCTGAGAGGCTTCTTGTGACAATACGTTTTAAATTGTATTCTAATTATTTATTGTAACTTAATATACTGCTTTCAGTTTATACTTAAAAATTAAAACTGAGGAATTAAAGCAGGCAAATAACGGGCAAATAACCCCCCCCACTCTAATTGTAAGTTGCTAGGATCCAATGCCCTCTTTCTTAAACTAGACCAGGTGGGGCCAATCTTGGTCTCAAGGGGATAAAGCTGTTCCAAGGTGAATGGAGAGCAATAAGAACATCTTATTTGGGTCTCCACCTGTCCTGTCTCTTGAAGGGAAAATAATAAAAAGCATTCCCTCTCACCTTGAACACTCCATTCTTTCTTTCTAAAAGTTATGTCCTGAAGGTAACTGGAAGCTAATCCATGTATGTAAAATACCATCACCAATTGGTTAATACCAGCACTCTAAAATATATTGGAAACCTGCTGGCCACCAACACAAATCCTGAAGAACTGGTGTGACACTCATCTGCCAGCAAGTGGGGAACGGCTTTCTGCAGTTTCTCAGTAGTCTTGAAAGGCAGCATCAAGTACAACACGTTGCAGGAGTTATGAAATTAATAGTTGCCAGGCTGCTACTTCAAAAGGGGCCATTTAAAAAATTAATGATGCTGTTAGTCTCCTTAACTCTGCAGGGAGTACATACCAACGACTGGGGCAGCAACAGAGAAGGCTTGAACCCAAAATGCCACCAGATGAGTTTGCCTCCTTAGATGATGGCAAACTCCCACAGATGATCTTAGTAAGCATGGAGGTTCAAACAGGAAAAAAGGGTCTTTTCTGAAATAGCTTTGTTAGGCTTTGGTGGTAATGACCAGCACTTCACATTTTGCCAAGAAATGACCTGGCATGCTTATATTCAACAGAATACATGCAGTGGGACCTATTTGTCTGCAAAAGTTGTCTTTAATTCAGAAACAATCTGTGCTTTGTATCTGAGCAAAATAAGACAACATACCCAAAGTATAGAGATTCTTAAATCTCATTGGAAACGAGGCAGCTGTCAGAGGAGAGAGCAGCGTGCGCCCGTGGGCTTGTCCAACGAATCCTCCCCTCCTGTTCCTTCTTCTGCTGTTTGAACAAGCCACACGGGGCACGCTGCCTTGTCTTTGACAGTTGCCTCATTTCCAATTTGGGGGGGGGGAGAAATCCATCTTTTCCCTCCCTCTCCATGGATCCCCCCACAATTGGAAACAAGGTGGCTGTGAAAGACAAGGCAGCACGCTTGTTTAAACAGCAGAAGAAGGAACAGGAGAGGAGTTCCATGTGGGGCTTTTCAAACAGCCAAACTGTTCCTCAGGCAGGCCAGATCGGGAGCACACGCCAAGCTGTTGCTCCTCCTGCCGCTGCCGCTGTTGACGCGACTCTCATGAGGGGAAGAGAAAAAAATAATAAAAGGCTCCGTGGTGGTGGGACCAGTCTGTCATGGAGCGATCCAGCCCGCTCCCCCTTCCGGCAGAGCTTTTTTTCCTCTCTCAGCTTGGCTCTCCTTCATTCCTTCCTTCCCTCAGCACCCACCAAAGCGCTGCCCCCGCTCGGCTTCCCTCACTGCCGCCCCACCCCCTCTGCATGCCCGGCTGCTGGCCTGAGTGGGAGCGAGTGATGGTGGCGCGAATCAGCGGTGACTACTGCTCCTGGGCTCGCTGTGGGTAGTGGGCAGCACCCCAACTCCCCTGCCACTGCCCCGCTGCCTTAGCAGCAGCATCTTCCATCTGCAGAACCAACGTGGGGAAGAAGATCGAAAAACATGGAGCCACAGACTCCACCCTTTCCCCCACCCCACAGCTTGTCTCCTTGCGTGGGACCAGGGCACGTGAGGGTGAGTGGAGTTTGCAACCAACTTTAAAGTGAATGGGGCTATTTGTGACTAAATAGGACAGAGAACATAGAAAAATGCAAGGGGACATGCAGGTAATCTAGTCCAACCCCTTTCCAAGGCAGGAGTCCTTCCTTCTCTTTGAGAGCTGTCAGTGGCAGACATGAGGGAAATGGTGTATGTGTGTATAAGAGAGAGAGAGAGAAAGAAAGAAAGTTGGAGAGAGAGAGAGACAAGAAAGAAGGAAGGAAGGAAGGAAGGAAGGAAGGAAGGAAGGAAGGAAGGAAGGAAAAGAAAATAAGTGAGGAGAGAGACGAAGGAAGGAAGGAAGGACGGAAGGAAGGAAGGGAAAGAAAATAAGTGAGGAGAGAGACGAAGGAAGGAAGGAAGGACGGAAGGAACGAAGGGAAAGAAAGAGAACTTATGATCA